TGTGCACTAACTACTGAACTGTGAACTACACTACTGAACTGTGAACTACACTACTGAACTGTGCACTACACTACTGAACTGTGAACTACACTACTGAACTGTGCACTACACTACTGAACTGTGCACTACACTACTGAACTGTGAACTACACTACTGAACTGTGCACTACGCTACTGAACTGTGAACTACACTACTGAACTGTGCACTACACTACTGAACTGTGCACTACACTACTGAACTGTGAACTACACTACTGAACTGTGCACTACACTACTGAACTGTGCACTGCAATACTGAACTGTGAACTACACTACTGAACTGTGCACTACACTACTGAACTGTGAACTACACTACTGTACTGTGAACTACACTACTGAACTGTGCACTACACTACTGAACTGTGAACTACACTACTGAACTGTGCACTACACTACTGAACTGTGCACTACACTACTGAACTGTGCACTACAGTATTGAACTGTGAGCTACACTACTGAACTGTGAACTACACTACTGAACTGTGCACTACACTACTGAACTGTGCACTACACTAATGAGCTGTGAACTATACTACTGAACTGTGAATATACTACTGAACTGTGAACTATACTACTGAACTGTGAACTATACTACTGAACTGTGCACTACACTATTGAACTGTGAACTGTACTACTGATCTGTGAACTATACTACTGAACTGTGCACTACATTACTGAACTGTGAACTATACTATTGAACTATGAACTATACTACTGAACTGTGAACTATAGTACTGAACTGTGAACTATGCTACTGAACTGTGCACTACACTACTGAACTTTGAACTACACTACTGAACTGTGCACTACACTACTGAACTGTGAACTATACTACTGAACTGTGCACTACACTACTGAACTGTGCACTACACTACTGAACTGTGAACAACACTACTGAACTGTGAACTACACTACTGAACTGTGAACTACACTACTGAACTGTGAACTACACTACTGAACTGTGAACTACACTACTGAACTGTGCACTACAAACACTACTGAACTGTGCACTACACTTCTGAACTGTGAACTACACTAATGAACTGTGAACTACACTACTGAACTGTGCACTACACTACTGAACTGTGAACTACACTACTGAACTGTGAACTACACTACTGAACTGTGAACTACACTACTGAACTGTGAACTACACTACTGAACTGTGAACTACACTACTGAACTGTGAACTACACTACTGAACTGTGCACTACACTACTGAACTGTGAACTACACTACTGAACTGTGCACTACACTACTGAACTGTGAACTACACTACTGAACTGTGAACTACACTACTGAACTGTGCACTACACTACTGAACTGTGAACTTCACTACTGAACTGTGCACTACACTACTGAACTGTGCACTACACTACTGAACTGTGAACTACACTACTGAACTGTGCACTACGCTACTGAACTGTGAACTACACTACTGAACTGTGCACTACACTACTGAACTGTGCACTACACTACTGAACTGTGAACTACACTACTGAACTGTGAACTACACTACTGAACTGTGCACTACACTACTGAACTGTGAACTACACTACTGAACTGTGAACTACACTACTGAACTGTGCACTACGCTACTGAACTGTGAACTACACTACTGAACTGTGCACTACACTACTGAACTGTGAACTACACTACTGAACTGTGAACTACACTACTGAACTGTGAATTATACTACTGAACTGTGCACTACACTACTGAACTGTGAACTACACTACTGAGCTGTGAACTTCACTACTGAACTGTGCACTACCACTACTGAACTGTGAACTACACTACTGAACTGTGCACTACACTAAACTGAACTGTGAACTAAACTACTGAACTGTGAACTACACTACTGAACTGTGCACTACACTACTGAACTGTGCACTGCACTACTGAACTGTGAACTACGCTACTGAACTGTGCACTACACTACTGAACTGTGAACTACACTACTGAACTGTAAACTACACTACTGAACTGTGAATACACTACTAAAACTGCGCACTACACTACTGAACTGTGAACTACACTACTGAACTGTGCACTACACTACTGAACTGTGAACTACACTAACTGAACTGTGAACTACACAACTGAACTGTGCACTACACTACTGAACTGTGAACTACACAAACTGAACTGTGAACTACACTACTGAACTGTGCACTACACTACTGAACTCTGAAACTACACTTCTGAACTTTTGCACTACACTACTGAACTGTGAACTACACTACTGAACTGTGAACTACACTCTGAACTGTGAATTACACTACTGAACTGTGAACTAACTACTGGACTGTGAACTACACTACTGAACGTGCACTAAAACTACTGAACTGTGAACTATACTACTGAACTGTGAATTACACTACTGAACTGTGAATTACACTACTGAACTGTGCACAAACACTACTGAACTGTGAATACACTACTGAACTGTGAACTACACTACTGAACTGTGACTACACTACTGAACTGTGCACTACACTACTGAACTGTGCACTACACTACTGAACTGTGAACTAAACTACTGAACTGTGAACTACACTACTGAACTGTGCACTACACTACTGAACTGTGCACTGCACTACTGAACTGTGAACTACACTATTTGAACTGTGCACTACACTACGGGAACTGTGAACTACGCACTGAACTGTGAACTACACTACTGAACTCTGCACTACACTACTGAACTGTGAACTACACTACTGAACTGTGAACTACACTACTGAACTGGCACTACACTACTGAACTGTTAACTACACTACTTGAACTGTGCACTACACTACTAAACTGTGAACTACACTACTGAACTGTGAACTACACTACTGAACTGTGAACTACACTACTGAACTGTGAACTACACTACTGAACTGTGAACTACAATACTGAACTGTGAACTACACTACTGAACTGTGCACTACGCTACTGAACTGTGAATACACTACTGAACTGTGCACTACACTACTGAACTGTGAACTACACAACTGAACTGTGAACTACACTACTGAACTGTGAACTACACTACTGACTGTGAACTACACTACTGAACTGTGCACTACACTACTGAACTGTGCACTACACTACTGAACTGTGAACTACACTACTGAACTGTGAACTACACTACTGAACTGTGAACTACACTACTGAACTGTGCACTACTCTACTGAACTGTGAACTATACTACTGAACTGTGAACTACACTACTGAACTGTGCACTACGCTACTGAACTGTGAACTATACTACTGAACTGTGAACTACACTACTGAACTGTGAACTATACTACAGAACTTTTAACTACACTACTGAACTGTGAACTATACTACTGAACTGTGCACTACACTACTGAACTGTGCACTACACTACTGAACTGTGAACTACACTACTGAACTGTGCACTACACTACTGAACTGTGCACTACCCTACTGAACTGTGCACTACACTACTGAACTGTGAACTACAGTACTGAACTGTGAACTACACTACTGAACTGTGCACTACACTACTAAACTGTGCACTACACTACTGAACTGTGAACTATACTACTGAACTGTGAACTACACTACTGATCTATGAACTACACTACTGAACTGTGCAATACACTTCTGAACTGTGAACTGTACTACTGAACTGTGAACTATACTACTGAACTGTGAACTACACTACTGAACTGTGAACTACAATACTGAACTGTGAACTACACTACTGAACTGTGAACTACACTACTGAACTGTGAACTACACTACTGAACTGTGAACTACAATACTGAACTGTGAACTACACTACTTAACTGTGAACTACACTACTGAACTGTGAACTACACTACTGAACTGTAAAACTACACTACTGAACTGTGAACTATACTACTGAACTGTGAACTATCTACTGAACGTGAACTATACTACTGAACTGTGAACTACACTACTAAAACTGTGAACTATACTACTGAACTGTGAACTATACTACTGAACTGTGAACTATACTACTGAACGTGAACTTTTACTTACTGAACTGTGAACTATACTACTGAACGTGAACTACACTATGAACTGTAAAACTATACTACTGAACGTGAACTACTACTGAACTGTGAACTATACTACTGAACTGTGAACTATACTACTGAACTGTGAACTATACTACTGAACTGTGAACTCACTACTGAACTGTGAACTACACTACTGAACTGTGAACTACACTACTGAACTGTGAACTACACTACTGAACTGTGAACTACACTACTGACCTGTGAACTACACTAATGAACTGTGAACTACACTTGTAAGATACACTTCATTAATTACTTCAAGCTTCATTTAACACTTCACTTAGTAGTATAGTTAACACTTTAACACAAACTTAATACACTTAACACTTAAAACTTTACTTAGCAGTACACTTAAACCTTTACAGTATACTTGACAATTACTCTTTAAATAACACTTTAAAACTTACAAATATGATCATTATAAGTGTTTCACAGCTTCAAAATCTCACACAGGAAAGCAAGAGTTACCAAGTCACTTTCCACTTTGTGTTATTTCTAACTTCACTAATTAAGTCATCTTAGATAATTAAGTTACCCCTCCTTTGTTGTCTCAGTCTTTATCACTTAGACAAGCTTTCAAAATAATTTTATTATTTACGCTGAAAAATAAGTGTATGATGTAAAAATAAATAAAATACGGATATGAATCGGGAAATGAATTGCGACGAGTCTCTGAAAAGTCCCCCCCAGAACCCTTATGGTCAAAAGGGGTTTAGTTGTCAGACAATGGATAATCTCTTCAAGGATGCTGAAGTTTTGGAATTGCGTGCAGGGACGATCACCACATGCCATCTTCTCTAAAATAATGTATGCCTGACTTGGTGGTAAAATCTTTTTTAAGGGAATTTATCTGGAGACCCGGCTTTCCCCAAAAAATTTAATTGTTTAAATATGATGTATGAGTCAATGGTTCTATCAGTATTGGATGGAGTGCCAGGTGTGTAGAAATTGTTAGGCTCCTGTATTGAACGATAACAGATGGTGACCATGTACGCCGGCCAAACGTTAGGGAAATATTACTTAAATATGGTATCATCAGGTGCTTCTCTTAGGGAACGAAGGGAAACAGTACGCAAGATAATGTTAAACTTACACAAAACAGTGGTAGAAGTCATCAGCAGGGGATACGTGAACAATGATATTAAAGAAGATAATATCTGCGTATGCCAGAACACTGGAAAAGTGACTTTAATTGATTTTGGTTTGGCCACCAAAGTAGGAGAAGCAATGAATACCAGCATGTTCGCCGAAAATCATTTCTGGTTTGCTCCTGAGGTACGCCAGGGCAAGCCGTGCACTGAGGCCAGTGAAGTGTTCAGCCTCGGAGCACTCTGGAACACTTTCCCAAAAACCATATTTAGTAAAAAAGTGAATGAGTGGATCTAGACTTCGCAGTCGAAGGATGCGCAGAGGAGGCCTACCAACTAAGATCTAATAGCGATTCTCGAAAGATAAATAAAGCGGTTGGAAAATAGAATGAAATATGAAATGCCAGAGTAAAGGCTGTCTATACCGAGGTCTACATCATCATCTTCACTATCACCACCAAGGAGACACAGGTTGACGAAAAGAATTCCTAAGTAGCGAAAGTCCTCATCCCCAGAATAGATCAAGAGGACCAAGTCACCTACTATCACAGCATCGCATGAGTGGTGGGAGAGGAACTTAAACTTAGTGTGTTCGTCCTCTTCACCTGTTCTTGAACCCGCAGAAGATCACTGGAGGAATTCATCCTCCTCCTGTGATTATCGCAGGACACCGTCTCCAGAGTGGTATTTAGAGTCCTTGGACCCATTCACTGATATACTTATACAGCCAAAACCAAAAAAACGGAAAAAGAAGACAAAGGCACCTTTGTTTTAACCAAAGGAACGGAAGAGAAAGATCATTTCTTCTTCGTCTTCCCCCAGTCCTCCAGCACCGCCAAGAAAGAGACAAAACAGGTCTTTGGCTTCCCGGAAGCAAAGACTTCCAGCACGGAAGGAGGGCTTAAAAAGACCTTTGTCTTCTCCATCCCTATCACCAGAAGTGAAGAGTAAAAAAATGGCTTCCTTAACTTCACCACCACCAGAAGCACTATCATCCTCATCAGTATCATCACCAGAAGATAAGAAGGTGTCTTCATCTTCACATCAAGATATGATGACTTCTTTGTTCTCATCCCAAGATATGATTTCTCTATCACCACAATCTGAGAAGAAAGTTTCTTCGTCTACGTCTTCAGAGATGTCTTCTCCATCGCTAGAAGTTAAGAAGAAAGTGTCTTCATCTTCGAGTTCTTCAAGCAGCGGTGTAGTTATGCTCATCAGACCACATTACTGGATATAATCTTATCTCGGATTCTGTTCAACACCCTCCTACTCCTCCTTCGCCTCATTATCCTTCTCATTATCCTCCCCCTCCTCATTATCCTTCTCCTCCTCCTCCTCCTCCTCCTTCTCCTCCTCCTCGTCATCATCATCATCATCATCATCATCAGGAGAAAAGACGATAGTACAGTTATCGCCTTCACCTCATTATATGTCTTCTCCATCACCAGGTCAGAAGAAACTGTCATCACCTGAATATATGATATTTTCTCCATCACCAGGTCAGAAGAAACTGTCATCACCTGAATATATGATGTATTCTCCACCACCAGGTCAGAAGAAACTGTCATCACCTGAATATATGATATTTTCTCCACCACCAGGTCAGAAGAAACTGTCATCACCTGAATATATGATGTATTCTCCACCACCAGGTCAGAAGAAACTGTCATCATCTGAATATATATCTTCTCCACCACCAGGTCAGAAGAAACTGTCATCACCTGAATATATGATGTATTCTCCACCACCAGGTCAGAAGAAACTGTCATCATCTGAATATATATCTTCTCCACCACCAGGTCAGAAGAAACTGTCATCACCTGAATATATGATGTTTTCTCCACCACCAGGTCAGAAGAAACTGTCATCTTCACCTGAATATATGTCTTCTCCTTTACCAGTTCAGAAGAAATAGTCTTCTTTGAATTCCCGTAAGTCAGTACCCAAACTACAACAGTAGGGCACAAAAAGGCTTTTGTCTTCACCATCACCATCACCTTTTAAGGCGAAGAAAACTAAAATGTCTCCACCTCTTTTCTCGGGACCCAGAAAACTGAAGAGAAAGGCTTAGCCCCATCTTGAAGAAGATAGCAGTGAGTGAGTGGAGAGGTGTGAGTGAGGTGATGGATCAGCGTAGTTGATGGATCAGAGTAGTTGATGGATCAGAGTAGTGATGGATCAGAGTAGTGATGGATCAGAGTAGTGATGGATCAGAGTAGTAAATGGATCAGAGTAGTGATGGATCAGAGTAGTGATGGATCAGAGTAGTGATGGATCAGAGTATTGATGGATCAGAGTATTGATGGATCAGAGTAGTGATGGATCAGAGTAGTGATGGATCAGAGTAGTGATGGATCAGAGTAGTGATGGATCAGAGTAGTGATGGATCAGAGTATTGATGGATCAGAGTAGTGATGGATCAGAGTAGTTGATGGATCAGAGTAGTGATGGATCAGAGTAGTGATGGATCAGAGTAGTGATGGATCAGAGTAGTGATGGATCAGAGTAGTGATGGATCAGAGTACTGATGGATCAGAGTACTGATGGATCAGAGTAGTGATGGATCAGAGTAGTGATGGATCAGAGTATTGATGGATCAGAGTAGTTGATGGATCAGAGTAGTGATGGATCAGAGTAGTGATGGATCAGAGTAGTGATGGATCAGAGTAGTGATGGATCAGAGTAGTGATGGATCAGAGTAGTGATGGATCAGAGTATTATTATTATTATTATTATTATTATTATTATTATTATTATTATTATTATTATTATTATTATTATTATTATTATTATTATTATTATTATTATTATTATTAAGGAGAATGGCCCAACACGAAGAGATGATTCATCACCTGAGGAGTTGAGAGTAATCAGGTCTGATCCAAGAAAGAGGGGAGAGCGACACTCATCAAGGAATGTAAGCGTTCTGGAGCCTCGACTGAGATCATTGAATGTTAGGGCTGGGTGTGGGATATTAATAGATCAGTGAATGTTAGGGCTGGGTGTGGGATATTAATAGATCAGTCAATGTTAGGGCTGGGTGAGGGACATTAATAGGACGGAGGATCAAGTCTGCAAAAGTTCTTGCATGAATCCATGAGTTCCAAGACTCAAATAAGTTATAACAAGAAGTTAACTGGGTCGTTGCATGGTCACCAAATGTGCAGCATCCAGTGTCCTCTAACCTCTGGTAATATTTAGGTAGTTTACGAAGATATTCAGTATAAGTTGTGTCGGTTTCTTGCCTGTGTTGCCAGTTTGTTTGTCAGTGACTTTGTTGTTAGTTCTTGGTGTCTGTTGTTTCTCTAGTGTTTCTAGCAGGTTGATGGCTCTGTACTTCTTGGTGTCTGTTGTTTCTCTAGTGTTTCTAGCAGGTTGATGGCTCTGTACTTCTTGGTGTCTGTTGTTTCTCTAGTGTTTCTAGCAGGTTGATGGCTCTGTACTTCTTGGTGTCTGTTGTTTCTCTAGTGTTTCTAGCAGGTTGATGGCTCTGTACTTCTTGGTGTCTGTTGTTTCTCTAGTGTTTCTAGCAGGTTGATGGCTCTGTACTTCTTGGTGTCTGTTGTTTCTCTAGTGTTTCTAGCAGGTTGATGGCTCTGTACTTCTTGGTGTCTGTTGTTTCTCTAGTGTTTCTAGCAGGTTGATGGCTCTGTACTTCTTGGTGTCTGTTGTTTCTCTAGTGTTTCTAGCAGGTTGATGGCTCTGTACTTCTTGGTGTCTGTTGTTTCTCTAGTGTTTCTAGCAGGTTGATGGCTCTGTACTTCTTGGTGTCTGTTGTTTCTCTAGTGTTTCTAGCAGGTGCACTACACTACTGAACTGTGCACTACACTACTGAACTGTGCACTACAATACTGAACTGTGAACTACACTACTGAACTGTGCACTACACTACTGAACTGTGAACTACACTACTGAACTGTGCACTACACTACTGAACTGTGCACTACAATACTGAACTGTGAACTACACTACTGAACTCTGCACTACACTACTGAACTCTGCACTACAATACTGAACTGTGAACTACGCTACTGAACTGTGAACTACACTACTGAACTGTGAACTACACTACTGAACTCTGCACTACACTACTGAACTCTGCACTACACTACTGAACTGTGAACTACGCTACTGAACTGTGAACTACACTACTGAACTGTGCACTACAATACTGAACTGTGAACTACACTACTGAACTGTGCACTACACTACTGAACTGTGCACTACAATACTGAACTGTGAACTACACTACTGAACTGTGCACTACACTACTGAACTGTGCACTACAATACTGAACTGTGAACTACACTACTGAACTGTGCACTACACTACTGAACTGTGCACTACAATACTGAACTGTGAACTACACTACTGAACTGTGCACTACACTACTGAACTGTGAACTACACTACTGAACTGTGCACTACACTACTGAACTGTGCACTACAATACTGAACTGTGCACTACACTACTGAACTCTGCACTACACTACTGAACTCTGCACTACACTACTGAACTGTGCACTACACTACTGAACTGTGAACTACACTACTGAACTGTGCACTACACTACTGAACTGTGAACTACACTACTGAACTGTGCACTACACTACTGAACTGTGCACTACAATACTGAACTGTGAACTACACTACTGAACTGTGCACTACACTACTGAACTGTGCACTACAATACTGAACTGTGAACTACACTACTGAACTGTGCACTACACTACTGAACTGTGAACTACACTACTGAACTGTGCACTACACTACTGAACTGTGCACTACAATACTGAACTGTGCACTACACTACTGAACTGTGCACTACACTACTGAACTGTGAACTACACTACTGAACTGTGCACTACACTACTGAACTGTGAACTACACTACTGAACTGTGAACTACACTACTGAACTGTGAACTACACTACTGAACTGTGAACTACACTACTGACCTGTGAACTACACTACTGAACTGTGAACTACACTACTGAACTGTGCACTACACTACTGAACTGTGCACTACACTACTGAACTGTGCACTACACCACTGAACTGTGAACTACACTACTGAACTGCGAACTACACTACTGAACTGTGAACTACACTACTGACCTGTGAACTACACTACTGACCTGTGAACTACACTACTGAACTGTGAACTACACTACTGACCTGTGAACTACACTACTGAACTGTGAACTACACTACTGAACTGTGAACTACACTACTGAACTGTGAACTACACTACTGACCTGTGAACTACACTACTGAACTGTGAACTACACTACTGAACTGTGCACTACACTACTGAACTGTGAACTACACTACTGAACTGTGAACTACACTACTGAACTGTGAACTACACTACTGAACTGTGAGCTACACTACTGAACTGTGCACTACACTACTGAACTGTGCACTACACCACTGAACTGTGAACTACACTACTGAACTGTGAACTACACTACTGACCTGTGAACTACACTACTGACCTGTGAACTACACTACTGACCTGTGAACTACACTACTGAACTGTGAACTACACTACTGACCTGTGAACTACACTACTGACCTGTGAACTACACTACTGAACTGTGAACTACACTACTGAACTGTGAACTACACTACTGAACTGTGAACTACACTACTGACCTGTGAACTACACTACTGACCTGTGAACTACACTACTGAACTGTGAACTACACTACTGACCTGTGAACTACACTAATGAACTGTGAACTACACTACTGAACTGTGAACTACACTTGTAAGATACACTTCATTCATTACTTCAAGCTTCATTTAACACTTCATTTAGTAGTATAGTTAACACTTTAACATAAACTTAAAAGTATAGAAGACAAACTTAATACACTTAACACTTTACTGACCTGTACACTTAAAAGTTTACTTAACAGTATGCTTTAAACTTCAGTGCACTACAGTGTACTTAGCAGTACACTTAAAACTTAACAGTATACTTGACAATTACTCTTTAATATAGCACTTAATACTTGCAAATATGATCATTATAAGTGTTACACAGCTTCATGTCTCACACAAGAAAGCAAGAGTTACCAAGTCACTTTCCACTTTATTTTATTTCTAATTTCACTAATTAAGTGATATTAGATAGTTAATTTTACCTCGCCTCTGTCTTCGCTAACTAAAACACTTAATCTTGTTTATCTCGTCTCACATATTTAATTCGAAAATGAGTCGCATGCCTAAATTAGATTTATATGAGACTCATATGTTGAATATCATTAGTGGGAAGAGCATGGATATTCTGTTTGAGGATGCTGAGGTCACAGAGTTGTGTACAGGGTCGTATGGTACATGTCATCTTCTCAGAAGCAGAGATACACTACCCTTGGTGGTTAAAACCTTTACGAGAGAATTTCAAGAAGGATCAATGCCCAAAAAGGACTCGAGTCGCTATAATATGGTTAAGGAGTGCTGCACGCTGGCAAATCTGGCTAGAGTGTCAGGTGTGTAGTAATTGCTAGGCCTCTGTGAAAAAGACAACAGATGGTGAACCATGTACGCCGGCCAAACGTTAATTAAATACTACTCAAATATGGTATCATCAGGTACCACTCTGCAGGAACGATATGAAGCGACATGCAAGATAATGTTGAGCGTACACACAATAGTGAGAAGTCTCATCCGGAATAATTACCTTCACAATGACATCAAGGCAGATAATATTTGCATAGACGAAAAATCTGCAAGAGTGACTCTTATTGATTTTGGTTTGGCCAGCAGAATAGGAGAATCTTTCGACAGAAAAATGTTTACCGAGAATCATTTCTGGTTTGCTCCTGAGGGACGCCAGGGCAAGCCGTGCTCTGAGGCCAGTGAAGTGTTCAGCCTCGGAGCACTCTGGAACTCTTTTCCAAAAAACTTATTCAGTGAAAAAGTGATTGAGTGGATCTAGGCATCGCAGTTAAAGGATCCACAGAGTAGGCCTACCGTATAAGATCTGATAGATATTGTAGAAAGGGAATGTAGGTTGAAAAGGAAAATTGAATTTACTGTATTAGTACCAGAGTAGACCTCTTTACTGTGGTTTAAGCGTTCACCCACATAAAAGAACAGGAAAACCACATCTTGTATGGTCACATAAGCACATGCGTGGAGAGAAACCAAAGTGTCATCTACGCCACCTTCCCAAAGTCCTGAAAACTCAGAGTGTTAAATGATGGATATATCCCCCTAGTCTCATCTCACTATACAGTCGAACACTCAGTCGAGTAGCAAACGTATACCGCAACTATCACAACCGATATAGAAGCTAAAACTATTTTTGCCATAACTCTCGAACCTGAAGCGGAAGGATTTTCCTTCTTCGTCTTTCCACAGTCCTCAAGCACCACCAACAAAGCGACAGAAAACCTCTCCAGATTCGTCATCATCACCAGCAGAGGAAACAATATTTTATTCCTCTTAAATTCAATAGATGATATCGTCTCCACCACCATCATCGTCAGAAGGTAAGAAGAAAGCACCTTCTTCACCTCAGTATATGAACACTTCTCCACCAACAGAAGTAAAAAAGATGACATCTTCATCTCCACCTCAATATACTTCTCCACCAACAGAAGCAAAAAAGATGACATCATCTTCACCTCAATATACTTCTCCACTAACAGAAGCAAAAAAGATGGCGTCTTCTTCATCTTTACCTCAATGTATGAAGTCTTCTCCACCAACAGAATAAGCACCAGCAAACAACAGTTTCCGTAATTTAATGTTATCGCCAATATTCCCATCCCCAGAAACTAAGAATAAATCAAATTCTTCATTATCACCAGCAGAGGAAACAGTACTTTATTCATCTTAAACTCAATACATGATATCGTCTCCACCACCATCGCCAGAAGGTAAAGAGAAAAACAGCAACAGCAGTGGTGCCGACAACAAAAGCGGTTGTGTCGACAACAACAGCAGTGGTGCCGACAACAAAAGCGGTTGTGTCGACAACAACAACAGTGGTGGCACTAATAACGGTGGTGGTGACTTCAAGAGACAAGAAATCGATGATATTGATGAAACTGGTCTTCCTAGGGCGTGGTCTTCGTGGGTACGCAGACTTACTCTTCGTCTGGGGCACTCACCAGACAAAAAAGCATTGCGGAAAGTTAAGAGGCTTACAAAACGTTTAAATAAAGCTCGTCTAGTGAAAGAATCACCACCAGTAAAGAAAAGCTTATTCTCTCGTTCGTCTTCAGTTAAGAAAATGAAACCATCTCGCGTACTACCACTGCCTTCATCTTCGTCTGAAAGTGCGACGTCTTGTTCTCCACAAACTCGTAAAGGCAGATAAGTTAGAGTACTATACCGTAGTACGCCACTACAAAGGCAGGACAGAAGAAGGATTTTGTCTTCCCGAACACCACCGCCTTCAGTAGTTAAGAAGAAAGTCCCTGCGTCTAAACACAAGCCAGTTCCCCCACCACAAAAACGGAGATTCAAAAGGAATTTGTCTTCTCCATCAACATCACCACCAGTAGTTAAAAAGAAGAAAACGTCTTTATCATCTTAACCACCCAAATCTAAAAAACCTAAAAAGAAACGACAAACTTTCCGTAAGGGTATTCATCGAGCATAACAACGGATGATGGAAATGATTTTGGCTTCTCCATCACCACCAACAGCTAAATAGTTGGAGAGAGAAGCAAAATAGCGAGAAATGATGAGGATTTTGTCTTCTCCATCACTGTCACCACCAGCAGCTAAACGGAAGAAAGCCTCTTCATCTGGGAATTCGTCATCATCGTCACAAGAATAGAAGACAGAAGTATCTTATTCGTCTTCACGATCACAGGAGAACAGTGAGTGAAATTGAGTTGGTTTTGCGAAGTTGATAGAGTTTCAGTGAAGTTAGTGGTGCTCAGTGACGTTGGTGATAGCATGCTTAAAATTTACACTATAATTATTATTATTCTTAATAATAATAATAATAATAATAATATTATTATTATTATTATTATTATTATTATTATTATTATTATTATTATTGTTATTATTATTATTATTTTATTATTATTATTATTATTATTATTATTATTATTATTATATATTATTATTATTATTATTATTATTATTATTATTATTATTATTATTATTATTATTATTATTGTTATTATTATTATTATTATTATTATTATTATTATTATTATTATTATTATTATTATTATTATTATTATTATGAAGAAGAATGGGTCAATACTAAAGGATTATAAATCATCTTGGGGAACTGAAAGTACTCAAGCTTGATCCAAGGAAGAGGAATGTGGCTCTCATTCCTTTCATCAAGGAATGTAAACGTTCTAGAGCCTCTACTATGATCACTGAATGTAAGGGCTGGGTGAGGGACATTCAGAGGACGGAGGATCAAGCCTGCACAGGTTCTTGCATGAATCAGTGAGTTTCGAGGCTCAAATATGTTATAACAACAAGTGATTCGGCCGTTGAACGATCCTTGATATGCATTATCTAGTAGCCTATAACCTCTTCAATGCATGTGCATGCTAAAGGCATGCAGCTGGTAGATACCGCAGCCAGGGTAGATACCGCCATGTATCTACCTTGGCGTAGATACATGGCATCTATGCCAAGGTAGATACCGCCAAGGGTCTTGGTAGGATTCTAGTTTATCAGTCTGATTGTAGCTATGGAACTGTGGTGGAGATGTAGCTACAGATCCTGTGAGAGGGCCAGGTCTTAGTGAGTGTTGAAGGTGTTAAAGTGCTTTCTTCGTGATGATAACGTTAGGTTTTCCTTGTTCATGGTGTGTAAGAACAGATGTTGAAGTCCGGGCCTAAGGTGTTGGTTGTTATTCAGGAAGGCTGGTGTTCCTGGTGCTGAGGTCAGCTAGTAGGCACATTGGTATATTAGTGTAGCTGAGGACTCTGGCTATGTCCTGAATGTCGATGTTTGGGCGCATGTATGTCACAAAGATGAGGGACACCCATGTCTGTGTCAGAGCGTGTTCGGTGAAACAGTAACTGAAAGTTGGTGGGCTATATCCGTAGATTATTCGTAGATTCATCAGTCTCTTCGACTCCTTTAGCCCAAATTAGCTTTTTAGACCTGTTAAAAATGTGAGTCTTGTAAGGGGGCCGTAACCACTCCTATGAAATCATGAAGTTCACTATTTATTACCAGGTCTGCAAAATTATTATCTTTCATTAGAAGGTCTAGTGGGAAAAATATATATTAAATAATACACATGCATAATCTCAGACCACCTTATTTCTCATGGTACAGGTGCTGCATACTCCAATACGGGCCTGACGTACATGGTGTACAGAGTATTGAATGATTCAGTACTCAGGTGTCGAAACGCTATTCTTAGGTTTACCAGACGTCAATATGCTGCATCAGTTATTTGGTAGATGTGCGCCTCGGGAGACAAGACAAAATAAGTCCACAATTCATTGGACTGTCCTTACAAAACGCAGTGTTCGGGCCATAATATAAACATTAACACTTGGTCGATATGTTAAGTACCTCTGATTTTAACAAATTCTTCCTCAGCTGCTTCGTAGAGTGTCTTTACATACAGTAGCAACTCTGGGGGTCAGGAAACTTTAGTAACACAAAACAATACTAACTCTTATCACTCAGGAAACCTTAATTATAACCCAGAATAAACAGTGGTGGTCAGTCATCTTTACCAGTAAGAGAGAACAAGGAGTTTAGGACGTAAAGCTAACTCTCCCATATACACAAGAACATCACAGTGTTAAATAAACTATTTTATTAATAATCTCTTGTTGTCTTTTCTGTTTTAAATGCTATTAACGATATTCATTATTTTCATAATATTTAAACACTAAAATATGTTATTTTTAAACAATACTTCAAACGATTTACAAAATATATTGTTATTTTAATTGCAGATTGACAGTCTACAATAATTCGGATTATTAAGAAATATTTAAGTGTTGCAAATAGTCATTCCATCCATTTGAAATACCAAGCTATATATACATCAGCCAGAACTGTGTTGGTATCCACATAACAGCTAGTTATTTTATTCTCGAAATGTTGCAAATTGCGTTGTTGTTTTTTTTTTTTAAAAAGTGCAAACCTTGTAAGAGTGCATGTGATGCAGCATGATGATCACAGCTGCAGTGTCCA